AACCCTAACTAACTATATATATATATATATATATATATATATATATCCCATTTCAACAGCAACGAACACATCAAAAATACTGGAACTACAAAGCATCTATTCGCAAAAATCCTCAACCCTACAACATACCGCCTCAGTGCATTTTTCCTTGCCACTATGTCTTTCCTCCTCGACCTATAAATTGAGCGCTTTGAATCTATTCGTTTCTCGCATTTCTTTTTTTTTACCGTTACTTCATTTGTTTTATGGAGAAAGTTGAAGCAATGGAATGTAAGTGAATGCAATAAGATGGAGTAAATGGAAGGATGGGGAATGGATTAAAGAAGCTGAAGTAATTAATGTATAACTTACAAATCCGCCATCGATGACTGACTACAGTATATCTCTGGAAAGAAGGTGCAACACTTATACTGCATTGGCAAATTATGTATTGTGATGAAAAGTAACCTACCAAAATCAAAAGCTGCTATATCTGCACAGTGATTGATGTTACCGAAATCAAGGACCATAAGATCTTTCCCAACACTATGCCACCGAGCGTATCCTCCATTTCCATCATCCTTTCGGTCTAAAATTCGGAATATGACACACCATTGATGGAATTTTGATAATATTCATTACTTAAAGAAAGAAAAACTACATAATATCGAAATCAACATCATTAATAAAGTTCATTTTCCGTTAAGCAATAGTTACAGACCTTTTTTGCTGTCAGTTAACCAGTCAAGCATTGTTGTACAGGCTCGTCTAGTCATCATCAGTGTTTATTGCTCCCGGAAAAGCCTGTTTCAAGAAATCGCCCACTTTCCAGATTCAGATTCACGAATCTCGACCTGATCGTCAACAGCCCCTCACACTTTACAACGCCATGCTGGCCGGCCATGAAATACCCACCTCACACAGCAGTGAGAGAACGACAGAGGCGGCGGCGGAAATGTCCATTAATCGTGGGAAGATACTTCTGATGTGGTCTAATGATAGCGGTAGGGTGGTGCTGTCAGTTGACAAGAGATGGGACAGATTATTGTAAAAAAATATCTCTTCTATTTTAACTTCTCGTCTATGTGAAATTCAGTTGCTGCGAATTTGTTATTGGCTGAAAATATGACAAATTCAACTTCTTTAACGACGAAAAAAATTTGATATGCCATTAATCTAAAATTAAAACACCATTGTTGTTACTGACTGTTTAAAACACAAAACGTTAATTACTTTTCTTGTTTCTCATGGGAGTTACCTGTTTTATCTACCACGGGTGGCGGGATTTCTTTTATCTACAGTAGTTTAATGCTATTCATAAATGAGGGGGACTATCTAGATACCTTCCAAAGAAGATTGAAAGCCATTCCAGCATTGGTTCAATAAACAGATCAACTCGATCGGAACACGTCATAAGGTCATCTACATTAGAACACCACGGGGGGGGGGGGAAACTCATCATTCATTTATGAGCTTCCCCACGACAAATTACGACTTCATAAACCTGAAGGAAGGAAAAAATTGAACTTTGATCTTCTTAGTAGATTGATTAAACCTTTCAAGCTCTAATGCTATATATATTCCGTCCTTTTATTATCATTATTTTTTTAACAGTTATTTTTTTTCCACGAACAGAAGCAGCAATATTTACAGCCAAAATAGACTGTCAAATAAACTCAATTTTATTTACATTCCTGACTGGGACGATATTTTACCAATGAAAACAATGGTACATATATTTTGTTAATATATTTTCTCATGTATTAAATGGTAGTTTTGAAATTCACCTTATTACGAGTATCACTTTTGGTTACTAATGATTTGATTAAGTGGTCTTCAGCAGAACACTCTCTTTTTCTGATTACTCAATTAACGGTCGGAGTACCATTGGTGCGAAAATTCTGTTATTTGCCGATAAAGTTAGCATCGCTCGGCATCAATAAACAGCATGCGCTTCAAAGCAATATAATTTAAATTAGCTCTTCAGTTATTTCACTTTCTACAGCAAAGTTCTTTCACTCCACTTAGGTTTAGGTATTAGATGACACGAACTTCAGTAGTTAAGCAAGCAGTGGCCTTAAACTGGAAGTTTAATTTCATACCTAATTGAGTATATGAATTTAGAAATTGACCATCGTATCACCAGTTAAGACTAGAGGTATCTAGGTTTATCAGCTGAGTATGATACATAATTGATCTTCCTAACGGTTTATTTTAACTTATTTGATGCTCGTAGCAAATATGCACAAGCAACTCAACCTCGATGATATGCTTTTCGAATTATATATGAGATTTGGAAAAATATGGTTCAACATTCAAGTAATAATTTAATGATATATAACAATCGAAAATTCAGTCTAATGACAATTAAGGTGGTTAAAATTGAGAGCAAAAAGGAAAAGGTATGCATGATAAGCTTGTTATTGTGAATTGTACCTTCAAAACTTCAATCCAATTTTTCGAAATGATTGCAAAGTTCTTTATTCATTTCGATTAAGAATCTGCATGATGAACTTTCACTGCAAGGTCACGCTGTTCCTTTCCACTTCTATGATTAGTGTATCTGTTAAAAGTCTCAAAGCTGTTTAAATTTAGCATTCACTTTACAGCCCAACTCCTATAATTTTTGCTAATTTCAGGGCATCGACAGCAACAATCAGTCAACTTCTACCTTTGCCGCCCTCCCACATCTCTTTCCGATCTTTAACGAAAGTTTATTGAAAATCTACTTCCAATATTTACTTGCGGTGCAGCGCTGGCCTTGGTTTAGTTTTCATCTTATACATACGTTCACTTCACACTAGACACCGCGCCTTATATATCTGTAAATAATGGGAAAATTTGATATTTGACCTTAAAAAACTTTAAACTTCTCCATTCAACAAAGGACAACCAATTTTCACCTACCACTGAAGATCATTCTTCAAAAAGGATCTAAAAAAGTTTCTTGAAGATAACAAATCTTTGTAATTTTTTAAGACTAAAAATGAGTTGGTAGAACTTGTTCGAGGTTTCTGAAACATTTTCCAAAGTAATACAGTCATCTACTGTTGAACTTCATCACCTTTTTTTTAAAGCTTGCTTTCGTTAACCTCAAAAGTAAGGTTCCTTAAAAAAATCTCAAATTTGGATAAATTTGTATGATAGGTGGCAATAAAATTTTTGTGAGAGGTGACTTGAAAATGCGAGGATATGCAACAGTTGAGACGAAGTCAGGTTTTTGAAAGATTAAAGATTGGAATTATTGTTGAGACGGAATCTTTATTCATTGTTTTTGTTTCTTCATTCCATTCATTTCTACTGCAAGCATTTTTTATATGCTTCCATTTCCTCGTCATACTTATACCAAATATTCAAAAAATTCTCAGAATGTGTCCTTTAAAAATGTTAACATCAGCTAGCTAACATTTTTCACTTGAGGTTAAAAAATATTCATATATGATTATCGAAAGGAATGGAAATGTCATATAAAATTTTAAATAAATTTCAGTTTTCAAAGAAATAATTTAATAACATAAATGATATTGAGGGACAATTTTCCATAACGTCGTAGTCCTTGAATGGTTTTTTCACGTGGAATTATTCTTCATAAGTAAATCTAGTTACATAAAATAACATAGGAAGTGACTCTTCGACTTTTCTATAAACTTTTGCACTCTTCAAATTTTATTCTCAATTTATAGCCATTATTTGAACATATATTACTACAAATATCACTGCTTCGCACATTTTATATTGATCTGTTTTTTATGCTGCTCATATCTAACAATTCGTTTCAAGTTGTTGAAATAATCTATTAAAATTCTTGCAAAATACTTCAACAGTTAGTATTCTTCGTTATCATATCTGTTTAATTAGTCTTTCATCAGTGCTAGTCTGGTACCGCCGCGAAATGATTATATACAGCAGTAATATCTATGTAGTAGAAACTTGAATAAAAAGTATTGAGCATGGGACTGCATTTAGCAGCAGTGGTGATTGGAAAAATTTTAAAAGGAAGAGGGCAAATTTTGGTGTTTTTTGCCTGAAAAAAGAAATGTAATTATATGGGAATTTCTTTTTCTCGTGATTCTTTGCCAGGCCGAATAGGACAGGGTTATTTTTCTACCTTCAATTTCAGATCAAAATTACTTTTTATTAACCCTAAACAATATTTTCAGGTTCTTTGTACCATTCCAAATAAATCTCAATAATAAAAGGTTCGAAAAACTGCATTTTTTGCTATAATTGTCAGAATAATAGATTTTTGATGGAAAAAAAAACTTGGTTTCACGAAGTACTCCTGGACTAACTATGAACTAAATGGTTTTAGAGTAACTGGAGTTTCTATTCCATATTATAAATTCTTCGAACCGTGGATTCATTATTACAAACCTCCATTAAGATTGATTTTCAGCACTGGTCATCCATCCGAAGTACTAATATCAAGAGCTAATTCAGCTTTTCCCAGAAGTTCGAAAGCAGTTCGATACCATTATATTGCGAAGTTTTATGATTCCGGCATTGCTCTGATAGGCAATCACAGTGGCTATGGATCGAAAACAAATTACTGTGAACATTATCATTTTTATTTGTGTTTTTACGGTGTGTTGTTATTTTTCACCTTAGTCTGTCATGCAATTTTTCATCATAAGATTTTCCTATTCATGTTTTTCTTAATATGCTCAAGTGTACCGCATTCTTTAGAAGTTAATGTTTCATGTAAAAGCTGAAACAGGTGCGCCATGTCGCATATTGGTGGTCGAAATTATTACAATTGTAAAAAAAATGTTTTGAAAAAGTGCCTGGTAACTTGACATATTCTATTATTTCCGCGCATCCCTCAAATCTTTTTCTTTTTTTGTTGAATTTAGTCAAGAAATTATGAAAATGGTGCATTTGCAGGTATATAGAGTATCCGGCAATACAATCGATAACGGAGTAAAGGGTTAATTCGTTTTCGTATTCCTGCAGATAGGTGGAAAACATAGAGAAAATTTTGAAATGCTGAAGCATTTTCAGGAATATAAAGTAGCTAGAAATACTGGACTTAGATCATAGAATGGTTAACAATTAATGCTTCTGGAAGTTTCTGTATCCCAAAAAAATTTAGTTTTGGGATCATCCCATCACTGAATAGTTCCGTGTCTGTAAAGATTTCGAGTGCATTGATGCAGCCATTTGCAGGGGAGCCGATATTAGAATGTGCAGCAGATAGTATGTCCATCACTTTTACGACAGAAAAAGAATTTGAAGGACATGTTTATGTGAAAGGCCACTATGATAACAGCTTATGTCGGATAGATGCCACTCTCAAGAAAAATGTTAATTTGACTGTACCCTTCTCTCTTTGTGATGTACGAAGACAACGTTCGGTTTGTCATTTGATTCTCAAAGTGAAAAGTTCAAAATATGTTGCGACAAAAAGATATAAAATGTCCCATTTTTGTTGATGAAACAACGAAGAACAATTACATCGTTAATAGCATACAAAGAAATGAATATAATTGAGATTTTTTTAAAGTTCAGTTACTTGTATAACAATTGGCGGTCTTTCCAGTCTACATATTGCATTTTCAGAGTAATCCTCGGGGTCTATATGTGTGCATGACTGTCATCATTACTTTTCATCCGGTATTTTCTTTTGTTCTTTAGAACTTCAAAATCACTCTAAATGCAAATGGCATACTTAATGGAAAAAGTGATTTCTGTTTTTGTTGCAGATGTTTATCACCAAAATTGATAAATCGTATCATGTGAAATGCCTTTACATAGAAACAGATCGTACTGTGACAACACGTCTTGATGTTAGGTTATTTTATGAATCCTTTTTTTTCCTTGGAAAATAAAACAAAATCGATTTTAAATAACAGTGAACAAAACTAAGCTAAAAAAAATAAATATGCCGGACTTTAGCATCAACATTTTTTAGTTTAAATAGTGAACAACAAAGAAAGATTGTTGTGATGATTGGTGGCGATAAGCATCAGGTGAAGGCGCTCACCAATCGTAATGGAACACTTGATGATTTCGAGTAAGTTACAATTATTTCTATCGACGAGTATTTTGTAATTTTGTAATTTTGCAAAAGCAATTTTGCATCTTTATTATACAACTGGTAATATTCGACATTTTAAAGTGACCGATATCATAACCACGAAATATTTTTGTAAGTTTGAAATACACTTCTTTTGGGCTTTATTCACATATCTTTTTATTTGAGAAAAGATTAATTCAAGTTGTTACAATCATAGTTTGTTCATAATTCTTTTTTCCCTCAAAGTAATTGGTACTCTCCTACTCTGAGGTGCCTTGATCATCATAGTTAATTACTTATCTGAAAAGCTGCAAGTTTTTATAATGATTGGAATTTTGATGTAAGTACTAATACAAGAAAAATAAAAACAGTTGTTATATTATAAAAATTATCAGAAGTGACACACTTGCAAACGGAGTGATTACACAACAAATAGCTCTTCCAACTTGTCGGTATCAAGTCCTTATGGATGGACCACATGGTTCTCCTGTAAAATATACAACTGTTGGAGAACAGGTTTATCATCAGTGGTCGTGTGCGGATGAAGATGGAACAGTTCCAGGTCGAGTCTTCTGTATTTGAATTCGTATAACGCTTATCCAGTTTTGTTTTCTATTTCTTGCTATCGTGCCAGATATTTTCCGAAAGAATAATTGAATAAAAAAAAAGTCATGGAGTGGTCAGAGAAAATCCTTAAACTAATTTATATGTGAAATGGTTTAACATCGTCATTTTATGGTTATTTCAGAAACAAATTTGTACTGCACAACTGTTCATTCATGTGTGGCCAAAGAAGAAAATGGAAAAGAGGTTCAATTGTTGGACGAAAATGGCTGCGCTGTTGACAAATATCTGTTGAACAATTTGGTTTATACATCTGATTTGACCGGTGGACAAATGTCTCAGGTAGTATTCCTTAATCTCGTCAGTTTAAAAATTTATCGTTGCATACGCTGGCAAAGAGCAAAAAAGAGAAATAGAATATATAAAAAAATTAGCAGTTGTTTAAGCTAAAATTAAAATAAGATTTATTCATTAAAGAACTGTACTTGAATTTTTCCCTTCTCAGACAGTCTTTGATATGAAGAATTAAGCTATTGAAATCTTAAACTATCGTTTATTATGAGTAATCATTCATTTAGTAAATGTCAATTCACCAATGTCTTCTTGCTATCATTTTTTGCAACTTTTTTTCTTGTATCAAGTACCATATTTCTCTTCAGGTGTTTAAATTCGCAGATCAGTCTTCGCTCTATTTTCATTGTCAAATACGCCTTTCATTGAGGCGTGGAAGTTGTAAGGTCTATTCTATAATTATTTTGCATGAAACGATCAAATTTTCAAAAGTCAGAGTTGAAAATTTGAAAGAACTTTTGTTTACTTTTTCATTGTTTACCAACGAAGGGAATCGAATATGTGGAAAATTATTGCAGAGAACAAGCGACAATTGTTCAGTTGAACGGGCACGGAGTAAGAGGGAACTTTCCGTTGCTTCTCAGTACAGTGATATCGACGCGACAGTGGTTGATGTGTTTTCGCAGTTGATGACGGTGTTTGATATAGATGATCCAATAAGTACTTTATAGTTCTTTTACCAAAATTTTCGCGCATTTAAACAAATGCCAAGCAAGATATATGCTGTGCACTGAATCAGGAAACAGGATCATCCCTTCTAGCTTGCACAGACACAGAGTCAGCCAATTGTCAGATTCCAAATTTACGATTACACACTGTCTTATTAATATTTAATTACAAAAATTCTAGACGATGATTGTTAACAAGCTATGTTGCAGATACTGATTCACTGCAACGATTTGAAGCGAAAGAGCTGAAACATACAACCATTTGTTTGACACCGATATCATTCAGCTTTCTCTTGGCGATCTTCACCACAGAGCTTTTTATTTCAACCTTATCAGTTATTTTCTTATATCGTAGAACTTGCTATAAACAGGAATATTGCACAGAATAATGAGCAAATTCGAACAATTAACGTTTGGGTGTATTCATGTAGTGTGTTTCCACTCGTTTATATCTTCCATTCCACTTCAACCTTTTGTGATCTTCAGATATTCAGGTTGTTCTTTTTTCTCTTTCTTCCATATTGAGTTTAGTTAATAAAAGTATTAAAAATCAAAGAAAAGAATAAGGCAAATTGCCTCGTTGATTGTTGAATTTTGTTCAGGAGTCAAGATATATAGCTCCAAAACATTGGCTCGCTATTGACGCGTGGCCATAATAAAAGTTGAAATCACAACAAAATTTTTCGGCTCTAAATAATCCTCATTTGATTGATTATGCATTAATTTATTTGTAAAAGTACTCTGATATGATAATGATAGTGATAAGAAGATCATGATAAATGATTCGTAATATTCGTTATTTGGTTGTAAGACGAAGAAAATATGCGCTACGTCACTA